ATGATTCTGTACAACGAAGAATAAGACCTTCATCTTCTTCAAGAACATATACATCTTGAATACCTTTTGCTAATCGTTCACCGGGCTGAAGAAAGAATGTTTTTTCTCCCTTTAAAAAAAATTAATTTTCCATAAAAAAACAAATTTTAAACGTTTCATACTTGAACAAGTTTTTTCTTTCCAAGTTGAGGTTTACCATCAGAATCAACTGGATCAAGAATAACACAGTATTGACGAGAATTTAATACTGTTACTGATACAACACCAACAACCTATATATTCATTTTATATTTATCTTTCTGTTTAAAACAAAAAAATTAATTCTACCTCTTCATAAACATCAGGAATATATGTTTCAGCATCACTAGCATAGACTAACCATTCTTCACCATGAAGATGTTTACGTTTAACTGAATCAGTAAATGTTCGTAAAGCACGAACATGAAGAGCTTTCTAAAGAAAATAATAATAAATCGTACAATGATCAAAACGATAAACACATACTTTGTCAGTGAGCACATAAGCTTTAACTGTTGAAACAACTTCTTCATAGGCTAATGGTAAATAAGAACCAACGGTTCGGTTAAGCCATTCTTCGCCTGTTTCTCGTTCAACACCATCTCGATCTGTCATTTCTTTTTTAGCACGTAAACGAACAGCTTCATTTGGTTTAAGAATAACAGCTTTGATTTGTTCTTCAACGCTAACTTCTTTACGTGGAAAATAAGTTCCTAAGAATAAATTTGAATTTTAGTTTTTAGATTAAAATATGTAACTAATATTTCTACCTGGTCCATGAAAAAGAAATTCATCTCCAGCACGAATTTGTTGACCTTGATCATCAATAAAATCCAAAACAGCACGAAGACGTAATGCACAATTAGGTTCAATAACTTTTAATGGTGTTATAGTTTGTTTAAGTATTTCACCAGGATAAAGTGAAAATGGTTCTTGAGCAAAACGTATATCAACATCTGAATGTAATAATTTAACTTGACCATTCGAATCCAGAATTACTTTGCCATTTTTATCACGAACAGCTGGATTTTCAATAACACAATAATGACGTGGTCTAGAGATTTATATAAAATAAATATATATGAAGAAATATAATTTATAAACATACGGAATGATTAACATGCGCTCTGGGCCAAGTAAAACTTTTTCATGATCTTGTCTTACAAATGTTTTTGGACCAACTTCAAGTCGAGTTACATTCGTATTTTGATCCAGTACATGAATATAATAAAAAGGTGCAATTCGATAAACTAAAATTAAAATAATATTCAATAAGAATAAGAAATTAATTTTCTTATTACCATTCATATGCTTTGCATCGGTCATTTTTACTCTTGAAGACTAATGTAAGTCTGAATGAAAATGAAAAATACAAGGCCTTTTATGTATGAGAAAGAATGTCGCCATAATTAGAATATGTTGTGTATGTGAAGAAAGGAAAAAAAAGTTTTTCAATAAAGTTGTGAAATCACAAAAGAAGAGCATTGCACGACTAAGTCATAATTATGTGAAATTCAACGATATAGACTGTAGTTGATTCATTTTTCACAGTAAAAAAAATATTTATAGAACACATGTAGATGACAATGAATACGATAAGAAAGCAAACAATTTAGATTAATATTTGTAATTTCAATCACAGTGAGAAATAAAAGGTATACTTTTTTTCATTCTATTGTGAAATTTCAAGTGACACCAACTCAAATTTCGTAAATATAACACATATAGTTCATTGGATGTCGCTATCCGATATTTAATTACGCTATGCAACTTGATATAGAAAAATTTCAATTCAAGTGATGTACCTTCTAAATTGTATATGACTAAATACAAAATATACTATCAATGTCTTGGAAATTCAACAATTTTGTTTATATTTATAAATAAAAGTTTATTTAACAATCTTTTCAACAAATTGTATTATACATTTCGTAATATTTTTATTAATCTCTGCATTCGACAGATAATTAATTCAAATATATATACGAAAAAAGCAACTGAAAAATTCGAAGAAAAAATAATAAATATTGTTATAATACAACTCGTTGTGTACTGTTATATCAATTGAGATAATAATTATATTTAACCTAATTATTTAAACATCTCTCCATGTAATCAATGTAGCAGTATTCACATTTAAAATTCCGGGTTTTTTATCTCCATCTCTCTGATCATTATATAGAATAACACCAGTAATAACCATTAATGTTCCAATACCACTTAAAAATGTTATGGGATTATTGAAAATAATAACAGATAACCATATTAATAATGCTCGTTTAACCGTATTTACAACACTAATCAAAATAAATCAATTACAAAATAAATTTATATTTTCGTTTTACCTGTGTGTTATTGGAGATATATAAGCCATGAGAGCAAATGCAGCAACAGACTGTATATGATAACAAAATCCATTAAAAATATAATATATAAATAATTTTTTTTGTCGTTAATTCTAATGCTAATGATATATCAACATAATAATAAAGTAAAGGCAATTGAAAAATACAAGCTACAAAGCTTGCCCAAAATTGTAATTCAACAGCTGTATAACGATGATTTTCACCGCTAATTAAAAGTTTCGAAAAAACATTTTGTAAACTAGAAAAATAGAAAAAGATTAATAAAAAAATATTCGAAATAATATCTTACCAATCAAATATATTAGTACCTAATGCACATAAAAATCCAAAAAGTTCAAAACTTAATTCAAATGAACTACATAAACAAAGGCCAATTGTTATTGGTATCATTGACAATTTTGTCCAATTACCTAAAATATAATCTCTGTTTTATTATTCTTACAAGGGAACTATCTGAGGTGATACCTTCCGTTTCTGTCCAATTATATCTCATCTGATAGAGTCTAATTAGATAGTAGAAAGTCTAAAGAGATTTCTCTCCAATGTTTGTTTTTCAAAAACTGTAGTTATTTTATTTCCTTGTACATTTTTTCAAGAGTGGTGTAGGGAACCTCAGGGTTCAAAAAAATCGTATTTTTAAAATTTAGTCTGAAACTTTGTATATACAGAGATCTGATCACAGATTAGTTTTGAATCAAAGTCTCACAAGAACGGAGGAACATCTAGGAACCTGCGTATTTGCAGACAATAATGCTGGAAGCTAATCTATAATCAGATCTCTATATATGCAAAGTGTCAGACTAAATTTCGAAAAATACGATTTTTTCGAACCCTGACGTTCCCTACAGCTTTCTTAAAAGTATGTACAAGGAAATAAAATAACTACAGTTTTTGAAAGACAGAGATTAGAGGAAAATTCCTTTAGGCGTTCTACTATCTAGTTAGACTCTATCAGATGAGATATAATGGAATAAAGCGGAAGGTGTCACTTCAGATGGTTCTCTCGTTAGAAATATGCAATCAATAATCAGTTAATATTAGTATAATACTAACATTCATTAAGATCATGCAATATTTTTTCTCTAGTTAAATTTGATTTACATCGTTTGTATTAAACAACTAGTCTGATCTTGTTTATATATATATGAGTATGCAGAAAACATACGTGCTTTCATTATAGATCGGTATGTCGATCTACAATAAAAAATAGATCTGTTCTCTGAATAGTTAAAATATTCACGTCTGATACCAATAGAAACAATTTTGTTTAGAAACGATACAAATAGAATTTCATTAGATAATAACTGTTCATAAAACTAGATTAATATATCTTTACTTGTTCTTTCTCCAAGCATAATTCGACTAATAACAACAGTAAATAATGGCGATGAAGATTTAATTGTTGCAAGAAATGATACAGCTATATATTTCAATGCAATTAAACCTAAAATCACAGTCACACATCGAAATGCACCAATAAGTAGCATATCACGATATACATTTTTCATAATTGGTGGAGGTCTATGTATTTCATTATTCATCATATGTATAATTCGCATTTGAATATAACCACTAATTACAGATACAACAAGTTGACTTGTACCTTGATTAATATTAGAAAAAGAAAAATTTAGTTAAATAAAAATTTCTTGTATTTCAATACCTAATAAAAAAGCATCACCATCCAAATGACTTAGAATATATTTATTTGAAAATAATGTTGCACCAGATGAAATATACCATAGAATTAAAATAAGAATCGCCATTGTATGATATAAACCTTGTGGAACTTCAAGAAGAAGTTTTTCTGTTGAAAGAAATACATTTGATTTATTTGGAATGGTTTCAGTTAAACTTGTTACTGGCATTAGTATTGTTAATTCCGTCGAATAATCATATGGATATTTTTATAAAATATTTTCGAAGATAAAACAATTATTGTTTATCATAAACTGACATGTATACCGAAGAATATGAGATAAAATAGTGCCCGTCCTTGTTTAATACGATACTTTCATGTATATTATTATATTATACAGACTATAAAATTGATTCTATTGGTTCTTAAATATGATCTATCATTTGAAACAAGATAGATGGAGTTCGTTATTTATACTATTATGATAAATATATAAAATATTAGTATATATTTTACTTATTTTTGATTAAAATTATATATTCAATCGATAGAAAACTGTTTATATCAATTAGCAAAGTAGAAAAATGTGATATTCGTCAGAAAGCATATTATAAAAAAGGATAAATACAACAGAATTTTTGTTAACTAAATTTATATAAAGAAATAAATATAAACTCGATACTATTCTAACAAAGTCGCTTGTTGAAATAAGGATATCAATGCTATTCGATATTTTCAAATAGTTGTAATTATTGTAGTATTGAATAAAGTTTCCTTCTATTCCAAATGCATCTCGTACTAATTTGATAGATAATAATTTAATTTCGAAATAATTAAGCAGATCGTTTCCTCCCACATCATTCATATTAATCTAATAATAAACTCAAATTAGAAATTTGAGGACGTATAGGAATCATTTTCACACGATATATGGTACCTAGAAGTTGCCTTTCGTATGTACATTTTACTGTTTTTCTCGATAATGATGAGAAAAATGAATTCCTTTTTAAGTATTCTTTATGTTAAGTGTGGTTTGAATTATTTCATATAGTAATAAGTAAAAATTCAAGAGATCAGCAAAGTATCATATAGAAAATTTGGTAAGATTTACGTTATTTTTACATTTAGTCCTTAAACGACGTTGTATTATCAAGATTGTCACGTCATACAGTGTGGGTTGCGAATAATAATAGAAAAACACGAACAAACGCATGACTACCGTATGAGTACATTACTTTAATGAGAACGCGATATAACAACCTTTATTATCATAAGACCATCATAAAGTCTTGTCAACATCTTATCAAAGGATAATACTAATTCGATGTTTAATTATATCTGACTAATTTATATTCTATCATAGATTGTTTTCTCAGCTGTAAAATGGTTGCTAAGAGAGAATAATATCTAACTTTTCTTGTTATCTTCTTTAATATCTGATGTATCTGTGTACCTGTTTGTACTCAGTTTATTGGTCGGATGTTTATCTTTCTTTCTTTATAGCTTGTTAGACGTGCACAATAATTTTGGACACAGAATGCTACACAATATTTGGTGTAATGTGAGATAAAAACATCAACATTAACCTACATGTCTGTTCTATGGTCTTCTATGTGAGCAACCTTTGTTTACAAATAATAAATTGATAAGATTCCCTAAGAACTTCATGATCATTATCCCGATCAGTCTTTTACACTCAAGTTCAATCAGTTGATCAAAACGAATGAATCAATACGAAACAAGATATTCTGAAATGTAAAACAAATCAAAGTTCACAAAAATTTATTTCTTTTATTAAACAATTTGTAAATAAATGAACACAAGTATAGAAGACTGGAGAACAGTTTACATACATTCAATGTCGAAATTTTTTGATTTTCTATTCTAAAGATCATTGTGATAAAAAAAACGACAGTTTTAGGTAGTCACAGCTGTTACAGGGGGAAGGAAAGAGAAACGGAAGGAAGCTAAAATTATCAATATCTGGATTCACGACGATAGAAGGTGCTTCACATCCTACTTCTTTCGATTTACTTTAAATAGACGATGGTAAGATAAGATTATATAGTACTTTTTGATTCAAGTGAAATTCATTCCTATCGGTATTGTTTGTATTTTATAGTCATAATTAGAATTTTTAATTAGTAGTTCGTTCATCGAATTGTATAACATTAACCTTAACTTTGCTAAAAAAAATTAAAAATGTCTACACGCTAAGAATAAAGGTTGTTATTAGTAGAAAAAGATTATTCAGTAGAATTGTCGATGTGCTAAGAAAGATCAAAATAGTAGAAAGTAAAGACTTCTATATAGGCTATACTTATCTGACAAAGAGATGTCCTATGTAAAGAAGAACGTGACAAGCATGAGCGAAATAGAGTAAATCCTAGACACGCATCTAGAAATTATGTCTAGCGGAGATCAACTATTTTAGGAGGAGGATTACTGACTAGAAAAACTGTTTCTTCGGTTTGTAACATTTGATAAATCCGTACTCCCCTCCAGGCATCTGTATTGTTCAGAAGGGGACCGGCCCTCTAATCCTCCCTTTGGGTTTGTTACTGGTAAATCCGACAGCCTATTTTTATTTTATTTTTTTTCATCACAACAGAATTTTTCTTAGAATGTGTGGTCTGTTTTTTTCTATATGGTAATTTAATTGTTTCAAACATTAGAACTATTGTAAGTCCATATAATCTAATAGTTTTTATATTCATTTATAAAATACATCAATATACTGAATTTTATTTTGATGTATAATTCAATTATCAATTGAATTGTTCTTCTAGAATTTGAGAAAGATACTTTAAGTATTCATCATATATCTGCAATCAAATAACTAATAAATACAAGTTGATTTATGAATGACGTAAAATAAATATTTCTCCAGAGTACATCTAATAAAGACAAGAAATTTTTCTTTTAATCAGATGAATAAATTTAAGACAATATGATCTACATTGTAGTCAGTCTCAAACGTCTAAGAATAGAAAAATTGTATGTGAAATATTCGCATAGTGCATGTATAGTTTAACCAGATTTCTCTCCGTGACCATCTGGATTTTATCGTTTCTTAAGATATTTTTATATTCATTTGTATGCCTTTTTTAGTAATGTTTTTCTTTTATTAAGCAGAACACTGATTCAGATTGATAGATTTATTATTCCTTATAGAAGCTTTTACCTACAGTCATTGAGTTTATCTCTATTCATATGAATGTATTATTAGGTGAATTAATCCTTCTTCGTATCTATTTATAAAAAAATAGAAGATTTTGCTTGTGTTTATTCTTGTGAATCTAATCAAAATCGAAGTAAGATAGTCTGAGAGCAAAATGAATGACATTTTGTCTACTATATTTACAAAAATAACTTCATATTTCACACTCAGTAAACAGAGTTCAATATGTTAAGAAAACAACAGTGTATATTAAATTTATAGATTATAAACATTTGAATGATTTTATTTGTTCTCGTAAAAACAACTAATTGAAAAGAGTACTTTATATTTGCGTTATTTCTACAAAATCCCTAGAAATACTAAAATGACAATTAAGGACATGTATTACATTAACTTATTTATAGCTAATGAGATAAAATTGATTGTATTAAAAAAATGATTCTGACGTAAATAAGATTTATTTGCAAAACTTAAGTATATATCAAAAATATCATAAGTACAATAGTATTTTCTTAACAAAGTTAATTATGAAATGTACTTTCATATATATATGTCACATGCCATTTATTACTCAATGTAAACACGAAATACATTATATGATGCGCAGTACTTAAACAGCGTGATTTTAAAATAATTTCATAAGAGTTTTGTTCATCTGAATTATAACATGATATAGATATATTTCTATTAAAAGAAGCCTGGTATGTGGTTAGAACGCCATTATATCTAGTTTTTTTCTTGTTCTAGAATTCTATACTTTGAAAAATGTTGTAAAAGAACACTATTAATCATAATATGTATATTTAGAAAGATATCAGCGAGTTACTAAGTCCAAATGTGAATCCATTAGTTATAATCTGTAAAAAAAAACCTTCACTTTGAGTACGAAAGTTCAGTTCTTTTTTTTGCTGCTCGGTATTATTTACAAAGAGATTTAGATATAATGATAATATTATGTTTATAATTATAGCTATTACATGTCTCTGTGGCTTGCGGATCACTATAAGGAAATACATCTGAGAACTTTTTTCAGCTGTTTAATTAAAAAACAGGATTTTTTTTCTTGATGACTCCCTCCATGTAGAACAAATTATAGTGAAATGATTGATGGATAGTTTATCATATGCTTTGACAGAATCTGTCATATTGAATTTTCGTTTGTTATAGTGAAATTTACAGAAACCAGAGTAAGATATGTGCAGTGTCAAATAGTCGATCGTAAAGTTTTGAAGTACATTAATAATAGAGAGAAAAACAAAATAGCTGTAGAACTGATTAATGTTATTATCTTGACATCAATAAAAATTATTATTAGAAATATATGTCTTCTTGATTATTAAAAAGTTTATTTGTATTAAATCAAGAAAGGTTTCTCAAAACACAGAACCTATAGACGTTATCGTTTTCTCTCGAGAAATAAGTGACAGATAAAGACTTCTTTTCTTCTATCATATAACTAGAAATCAATTATTGGAAAGAGATAAGGAAATCATTTGTACGAGTCATTGAGTAAATTAGTATGATGCATAGAAATAAATATTCTAGAAGAACTGAACTTGAGCTCTTTGTAAAGAAACCTGACTAAGAAATGTTATGAATTTGAAGACCTCTGCTTTTTGTAATCGAGCATTTTATTCCGAGTCGTAGAAGAGATATCAAAAACATAAGTGCATACATCCGGTTTTGTCATTTTGTCAGGCACAGATTGTTTTTCAAAATATTCTCCCATCATTATTAAAAAATGTAATCTTTTCCTTCCTACTATTTAATAGAGGAAAATATGCTTTGAAGTATCGTAGTCATTAAAAACAACTATATAGAAGAAATCTACGCATTATGCAAGGAATAAATTTCAAAAGCGTAAAAGATGTAATGCACTTAAAAGCTTTTTCTTTTTAAAAATACTTTATAAATAATGTTTCTTGTCAATACGAAGATTCATTTTGTTGACAATACACAGAGTTTAATTAAATGATTTAGTTTTATTACTGGTTTATGTTCGGAAATAAAATTAGAAGATTTTGACAGATTTATTTTTCTGGTTTGTTTATTTTTGTACGAGTAATCAAAAGAACATTTAATTGAATTAAGTGTTGTCAAAAAAAAATATTCTTTTCTATATATTTTTCTCTATTATTATAATGAATTTCGATCGAAGAATATTAACCTATACATTTTTTGTAGTTAGAACAAAAACAGAAGAACGTTGTTATATATCGTTTACATTACATTAGAAAGGCGTTATTAAAAGATTTGGAAATTAATATTTCTTTTGCGTATATCAATGCTCCTACTATTGTATATTTACTATTAAAAACATTTCTTAAGGTTAGTTTTCGTTCTAATTTTGTTGTATTATGAGATACTTTTACAAGGTCTTTTTGTTATGGAAATGTGAACTTATTTCATATAATTTAACCAGTATTATCATAGCGTTGTTTATAATTTATAGTTAAAGACGCAATATATATCTATTAAAAATACCAGACAGATTATAATATAGTATATAATGATAGGAAAGTATGAGAAGAATGAATGCATTGGAATCTTATTTTGTTGAAGATACATGCACTACAGTACGTGTTTATTTAGTAGTACGATATACAGATATCCGCATTTTATACATGATAACTAATTTTACAAATTTTAATTTATGAATAAAATGTTAAAATTATACAATAGAAAGCGATCTATTGTTTAGTCTTGTCATTTAACATAATCTTATTATTTTTGAGTAGTAGACTTCAGATATAAATATTTGGTTAATAATGATGTATTACTAAATTAATATTGAATATCAGGATATAGATAGATATATGAATGTTTTCTTGTCCTTATTTAGGCGCATATTCTGAGACGGATGCTCTTTTAACCTTTGTCGTCTGTAATAGACAGCTTCCCCCAGTTAGTAAAAACAACCTAAATATATCCTTCGATTAGTTCATGTGAGTAAGCATACTCTATAATGTTCGATAAAAAGAAATCTTATAAATAAGTATTACCTTTTAGAATGAAATAGTGTGATAAGTACTAATAAATCAATTATAGCTCTCTAGTCTTTTATGTATGTTAAAAATAGCGTAGCTAAGTGTTTCAAGGCATTTTTTAAAATTACAAAGAGAAAATTATAATAAATCATGGTGAGAAAGAAAATCTTAACTATTTTCTAGGCATAAATTTTATATAAGAATTGCGATCTGTAATATGAAGATTTATATTTTCTTTATCGATCAAATATCCATTTGTTATTTTTTCCTTTACGAAATCAGTAGGATTTAAATCTCCCTCTAGAAAAATATCTTATTTAGAGTCTTTATCTCCTACGTCTATCAAGGACCATTATTATCAATAATTACAGTCATCAGTAATCTGATAGATAGACATTAATGGTAGGTGTTGATGTAAAAAAAGAAATTCTTTATTCTTTTCTACTCCCGGTACAGTCAACCTCTTAATGATAATAAAAAATTATGTAATCATTTTAGAAATTAAAATGATAAAATGAATAAAGTCTAGATGTAAAAAAATAATGTATTCTTTTTCATTATTAAATCAATGCTGTAGGTTAATAAGAGGATCTAAATAAGCTGTATAATATCGTTTGTGACGCACATTCTACTTAATATAAGTCTATATTTTAATTTTAAAATGAGTCTCGCAACTTATTTCCTTTTGATAATAAGTAGGTTGATAGAAAAGAAATTAAAAAAAACGTTTTTAAATGGAAAACTAAATGTTATATGATGATAATATTTTATTCTATATAAATTTCTTTTTATTATTTCAGATTTTGTCGTTTTTTAACTATGATTTCACCAACAAATTCTTCAATAAGTGACTTAGTCAATCCATCAATTCGACATTCAATGACTAATTTGGAATTTTTTTTCAAACATATTTATTTATTATTACTTGTAATTGTTGGTTGTATTGGAAATATATTTGTTATTATTATTTTTGGTCAAAAAGCAGTCCGTACAACGGTACGATGTGCTGGTTCAAGCATGTCAGTTTATCCATTTTTATTTTATATGGCTATATCAGATACAATGTATTTAATAATATTATTTTGTTTATGGTTATCAAATTATATAAATGTTTTACATCGTCCTGGTATTTGTCAACTTACATTATATTTAACATATGTATGCAATTTTATAAATGCTTATTATACAATAGCATTTACTGCTCAACGTTTATTTGCTGTTATTAATCCATTTCGAGTATCACATTTTCTTTCATGGTATCGTTCACGATGTATAGCATTATCAATAATAATATTTGCTTGTTTATTATATTCATATTTACCAATATTAATTGGAATTGTCGATGGAAAATGTTATTCTCGTCCACAATTTCGCTGGATTAATAAATATATGGATATAATTGATAGTATCATTGTTTTTTTAATACCATATATTGTTATAATAACAATGAATACAATAATTCTTATATCATTACGTCGTATGAAACAAAATCGTCATGAATTATTATTTCAAAATCATTCACAACTAAATTCAATACGTGAAATGACACGTCGTAATGCATCTCGTAAAATGACAAAACTTTTATTAACTGTTTCGACATCATATTTAATTATATGTGCACCTTATGCATGTATACACACATGGCGTTTAATAAATGATCATGGAGAAGAAAGCAAAAGTCCTCAATTAATAAAAAAATTAGAATATTATTCACATTTTATATATCATTTATCATTTGCAATGAATTTTTATATTTATATTGTATTTGGTTCAAAATTTCGTCGAGAATTAAAACGTGTACTGACAAAATCGAAACAAAATATATATCGTTATTTTCATGAACGAAAAGATTTTGACAATGATAATCAATTAGAATTAGAATTAACAGAAAAAAATTCTACGATGACAATTGAATATACATTTAATACAAATATAAACAATATTAATAATAAACATAACATATTAAGAAACTATTTTTGTTGTCATTTTAATATGTAGATTGTAAAGAGAAAAGAAAAAAATGAATGTATTAATAAATTATATTCTTTTAAGAGTGGTTATCTTTTATTTTATGTATATATATATATATCTTTAAACGAAAAAAATTCTTATCATACATTATTTATTCTATCTTACTTGAGACATTGTGTATAAGTTCTCTATAGATTTCTTTTTCTTTACATTACATCTATAGAAATTTCGTTCGTGTCTATAGCAAGTTATCAAATAAAAAAATGTCAGGAGTAACAACAACAATCACACCAACTGGTTTGATATAATATATATATATATGTTCGATAAAGATCTGAAGATTTTTATTTTTTTTTGTTAGGAACACAACAGAATAAATTTGAAGGTGATGGAGTTCCGTTCAAAGGCAAACTTATTGGTATGAAAATTGAAAGAAAAATAGATTCATTATCTTCCCTTTCTTTCTTATTTTATAAAATAAAGGAATGGAAGATGTACCAGTTGATCGTGATGAAAAAGCATGTCTTGATTCATTGTTTAAATTAAAAGCTGTTGCAAATGCTCGCAAAGAACATAAACAAAAACTTCAATTGAATTTAACTATGGCCGGAATTAAAGTTTATGATGATACAACAAAAGTAAGAAGGAAAACAAAGTCTATTTAAATTATTTATTATATTATTAATTAGGTTATAATTGCTTCTCATGAAGTTGAACGTATATCATTTGTTGTTATGGATCCACGTGATCAACGTGCCTTTGGTTATATTTATAATACGAGTGATGATCGTCATCAATTTTGGGCTATTAAAACTGAACGAACAGCAGCAACAACTGTATATGCACTTAAGGAACTTTTTGAAATAGCCTTTGAACAATTTACTAATGCTGAAAAAGCAAATCAAACGACATCTGCGCCAGTATCACCTGCAGACGTAACTGTTTCAATACAGGTTAGGATCAATAAAATCTAAATTTATTTGTAAGTTTTTTTTCTTCTTCTAGCAAACACCTTCACAATCTACTCCTGTTCCTACACCACAACCATCACTACAACCTCCACCACCACCGATACCTCAACGAACAGAGCCTGCAGCTGTAGGTCAAACATTTCTTTATTTTTATTTTTAATAAATTTTATTTTCTAGGCATCTCTTCTTGGTGATATCTGGGGAGACAGTCCAACAGTAACGTTGCCTCAACCACCAATACAAACAATTCAACAACCACCGATACAAACAGTTCAACAACCTCCAACACAAACAGTTCAACAACAATCAATACCTGAGCTCGATTTGTGGGGTAATAATGAACCTGCTGTACCTGTTCAACAACCAGCACCACGTGTTGAAGATGTAAGTTTCTTTCTTCTAAATGATTTTACTAATTCATAAAAAGAAGAAAATTTACTAATACTAATTAATACTATTTTCAGCCTCTTGGTGATATGTTTGGTTTACCTGGATCACCATCACAACCACCACCGCCACCAGCACGTCCAACACCTCAACAACCAACATCTACTACTGGTACTAATGATTTCTTGTCAATGTTTGCTCCTGCTCAACCAACACCAAATGTGAATACCAATATGTTTGCGCAATCAGTTCAACAAACACCTTTTATTCCTCAACAACAGCAACAACAACAACAAAATTTTATGAATCCAACACCTATCATGCCTGTGTCTCCACCAACTGTAACAAATTCAACTAGTGGCTTTGATTTACTTGGAGACTTTTCATAATTCATAGCAAAAAAACTAATTCTTTTTCCATCATCATCATTAGCTTGATCAATTCAATGAATACTACAGAGAGTTAATACATATAATCAGATATATTCTGATTGTAATGTCATGTTTTTTTTATTACTATTTTAGCTTTAAAACATAAATATTAATTATGCAACAAGTTTATTTTCTATTATTAATTTTATATGTAAAAAGAACATGTTTTTTGTTGTGATGATTGCTTTATATTCACGATCGTTTAATATTAATGATTTTCATAATGTGTATAAATAGTTAAACTCTAAACAACAATTTAACATATTATTTTTTTAGAAATCTATAATTTACTTTCTTACTATATTGACAATGTGAATATGTAATTAACAGTTCCCGATATAACTGTGTTTAGTGTGAGAAGTACTCAATGACTATTCTTTCAATCTCATAAGAACATATTTGCATTCTCAGAAAGTCTGGAATGTAACATTGAAGTTTTTTTCATTTGATTAGAGATGATTTGTGAATTATCTATCTTGTATATGTAGAAAAGAACATTTAATAAACGTCTGGAAATGTATTTCTTTTAAAAATACTATTAAGTCTATATGATTTTTTTCTAATATCCAGAATGCTAATTTCCAACAACAATATGTAAATATTTATAATGATACTTCTGTAGTCAACGATAACAGAAGCCGACAGTTACCTAAACTATTTCTTTTTACTACATCTCAAATGTTATCTATACTAAAGATAAGAAAATCGAAGAATGTGATGATATTTTTTTCATTGTACTTTTTGCATAAACAAGTTATTTTTTTCATACAAATCTAATATAATGATTATTCACGATATTATTTTCTCGAAATTAATGAGTAAAAAAATAATTTCTATGTTAAAATTAAGTGTGGGTGAAAACCTATAACAATAAAATAATGTAATTAAATAAATGCATAAATATCTAATTGTCGCTTGACATGTATTCGTTCTTGAGAGGAAGCTTTACATATACCAACACAGCGCTATGCGAGTAAAAAAAACAGGGCAACGTATCGTAATATGGGTATAGGATGTAATGCTTTCATACGACCTTCTATTACTCGATGATTCATGAATATGTACAGAAGAAAAAGAAATGAATAAACGCCGTATTGCATAGAACAGAATACTAAAAAGCATAACTCCTTTTTTATACGATAGTAATTGGTCGAAATAAAAGTATACATGTCAAAGAAAAACAAAATAACCGAATAAATTCTTCTATTTTCAAAAGTTTATTCAACACATGTCAAAAATAAAGTATGTTGATATGAATCGAATTTTACAACTATCAGTAATATAGGAAAAACAAGTATGTGATCATGCATGATTAGTTTTAGTCAATACAACCCACAACATATTGACAGAGACATAGTCAATGTATATAAATACTTATTTTTTTTTCTTACAGTCAGTCAAAAAAATTATGTATTCGCCTACATTTTTTTCTTCTGTTGTTTTTTCCCCATAATGAAGCAAAATAGATTTTAGTGTGACATAATTTATCTACACGTATAAGTTTTAATTTTTGACAAAATTCATTGTAATACTAAATACATAGATAGAATCATGATTGCTTAATTATTTTTTAGATAATGACCTACATCTAAACAACATGAAGATCAATAAATTAATATACACTCTTTTTATTTTATTTTCATTACAATATTATGTATTAGCTCGCAAGTATTCTCACTATTATGAAAGAAATTTAGAAGATGAACTTATTGATCTTATCAGTAGAAATCTAAATCAGATTTCATCAGATTCCACTGAAGTTTCTCAAGAATCATATAATGATGAAAACAAAGTTGAACTTGATGATCCTGTTGATGTCGATCTTTGGAATAAATTAAATGATGAAGACATTAAAAAAATGCCACAAATTGATGATTATTCGAGTGAAAAACAAGCTAAAAGTTGGCTTAAATGGTATTTACGTGTGTCGAAACGATATCATCAAATTTCAGTTCTTCTCGGATGGAATCATAAAACTAATCTAACCGAAGAAAATCGAAAAGCAATGTCAGCACAACATCTTAAATCAGCACCATTCGGACGTCAAACATTACCAATAGCAAAAAAATTTGATGAATATATGACACATTCATCTGATGAAGATTTAAAACGTACTTATGATCGTTTAGCACGAGGTACTGTCAGTAATAATGATGAAAATGTAAAAAAAAGTTCAAAATTACATGCGCAATTAGAACAAATCTATTCAACAGCAGAAGTATGTGAATTAAATGATAATACAAAATGTTATACACTTTCACCTTATTTGGAACGATTAATGCAAATTGAAAAAGATTATGATCGTTTATTATGGGCATGGAAAGGTTGGCATAATCAATGTGGCAATAAAATTCGTCCAGTTTATTTACCATATATTGATTTATTAGATGAAAATATTAAAGAAAATGGATATAAAGATGAAGCGGTTAGTGAATAAATTTTGTAAGATTTATTTTATAATTCAGTTTTTTCTTTTAGCAAAAATGGATTGAAGAATATGAAATGGGTAATGAAACAGAATTCGAAAGTATTCTAGATCAAAGTCTTCAAGATATTATGCCATTCTATGAACAATTACATGCTTTTGTTCGTGGACGTTTATGTGAAATATATCCTAAACGATTTGATTGTAATGGACCTATTCCCGCTCATTTACTTGGTAAGATATTTTTGAATAATTTAAATTTTAAACTAATCATTATTCAAAAAAGGTAATATGTGGGCTCAACAATGGCAAAATCGTCTTGATGATCTTATGCCATATCCGGATGTGCCACTTGTAAATATCACACGTATTTTATATAAGAAAAAATATACTATAGAGAAAATGTATAAAACTGCTGAGAACTTTTTTACATCAATTAATCTTTATCCAATGACTCCAAAATTTTGGGCACGTAGTATGTTTACCAAACCTGTTGATCGTGATGTTGTTTGCCATGCATCGGCATTTGATTTTCGTTATCATAATGATTATCGAGTTAAAATTTGTACTATTATGGATGATGATTATTTTTATACAATTCATCATGAAATGGGACATATAGAATATTATATGTCATATGCAAATCAAAGATATGATTATCAAGATGGTGCTAATTCCGGTTTTCATGAAGCTATTGGAGATACAATTGGAATGTATGCAAGTGAGTACTTGAGATTTTAGTCTTTTTTTAGAAGAAATATTAATTTGGAATATTTTAGTTTCACCACGACATTTAGTAAAAATTGGTTTTCTCGATGAAGAAAGTATAAATTCTCATTATGAAATGAATTTCTTAATGCGTATGGCATTACAAAAAGTCGCATTTTTACCATTCGCATATGTAATGGATAAATATCGTTTTGCTTTATTTCGTCATGAAATAAATCGTGATACTGAACTTAATGCAAAATGGTGGGCATTACGTATTCAATATGGTGGAATTATGGCGCCAGTACCACGTAGTGATCCAGAAAATTTTGATGCAGGTGCAAAATTTCATATACCATCAGGTACACCGTATGCAAGATATTTTATAGCACATATATTACAATTTCAATTTTATCGTGCTATGTGTCGATTACAAGGACAGACGAAACGATTACATATGTGTGATATCTATGGAAATAAACATGTTGGAGAAAGATTTAAAGAAATGTTAGCAATGGGAAGTTCGAAACCATGGTCAGAAATCTTAGAAAGTTTAACTGGAGAAAATAAATTAGAACCACAAGCAATGGTGGATTTTTTTGAACCATTATATAAATGGTTAAAAATGGAAAATTTAGCACGAGGTTATCCTGTTGGTTGGAAGTAATAATAATAATAAAAAAACCCTACTTTTTTTTTCGACTATGCATATCTGTGGTAATTCTTAAATTACAACAATAAAATATTTCATTTCTATTAAAACTTTTTTTTTTTTATTAATCAAAATCGAAATATTTATTAAGATTATTATATATTATTCGATAATTCAAAAAGATAATAAAATGGACGGAAAAAGAAAGTGAGATTAATCAAACATGAGTTTAGACTTCTGATTTATCTTCCATACGATTTGTTAATTCGTCGATCATAAAATGAATTGGATCTTTAGGTCGAGTAAGGACAATTTTTCCTGATAATTTCTATAAAAAATAATAATTGAATATTCGAAATGATTATCTAATATTTTACTTTAAATAATTGATAGATGCCATGTTGCATCATATATTTATCAGCTAGAATATCCGGATTTTCATTTGGTACTGTTTTATGTAAAACAGCGTCGATTTCTTCATCTGTTGCATCTTGTTTTTCTCCATTTTCATTTGTAGTTATTAAACCAAGCATTTCTAAACGTCGTTGTGCTTCTGGATGTAAAGTTTCAAGATTAAATCTAGGTATTTTTGGTACAATAAAACTCTCATTATCCATTGATTGAAAATTAAGCACTTCACTCTGTTCTTCAAACGACATTTCTGAAATCTTAAAAAGAAATAATGTTTAATAATATCAATACTACTAAAAAAAAGCGAATGTTTTATTTTATTTAGAAAAAGAAAGAAACAGTTTATTAATTAACCAGGTGGCCAATCAAGTTGTCTTCCACCGAGTACATGAATATGAAGATGATAAACACTCTGACATGCATTTCGTCCATTATTAATAACTAAACGATAACCATCATCGGAAAGACCTTGTTTTTTAGCAACTTGTGTTGCAACAATTAACAAATGGCCAAGTAACTAAATCAAAAGAGAAAATTCTTCAAACAATTCTTACAAAAATTTCATATACTTTTTCATGTGATGATGTACAAGCTGATAATTGTGGAATAGGTTCTTTTGGAATAACTAAAAAATGTGATGGTGCTTGTTTATTTACATCATGAAATGCTACACACTAAATTTTAAAAATAGTTCTATGCTTTTTTGTTTCTTCTATAGAATAAAACCTGATCATCGTCATGAAGTAAATCAACTTTTATTTCTTTTCTTGCAATTTTGCCAAAGATTGTATCTTCTGTAGGTTTAGCTGTTTGTGCTTTTGTTTTTTCATCTGATTGTTTTGCTGAACAATCTAAAAGAATTTATTGTTGTATTTCAATTAAATTCTCTTTTATATAAATAAACTCACAAGGAGTGGCAAGTGAAAAATATGCATAGGAATTACAACGATGTACAGCTGCGACCGAAGCTAAACTTAATAGACTTCGTATGACAGCAAACATTTTAGAAAAAAATTTATTTTCTACAACACAAACAAGAAATTAATTATATTACATATCAAATGAGAATGAGATATATATATATATATATTTATTTATTTAAAAGAAAACAAATATTTTCTAAACAGCCGATTGACGATAATTTTTTGTTTGTAAAATTTTTACACCACACATTCCACAGATACCTAATTTATACGAGCAAGCTAAATGAAAAGAAAGAAAAATAATTGATAGAATAAATAGAATTACAGAACAAACCTTGGCAGTAAGTACCTCCTGGTTGATGAACTGTAGCTTTACAAACCTTACATTTATTGAATTTTGTTGTATATGGGCTGTATCTATAGTTAAATAAGATATATGTAATTGTATATATATCAATAAATATTACAAACCGTGTTGATTTTCCTGTTAATAATTTATTTTCATTTAATTTTCTACCACCACTTTCTATTAAAATTTAATATAAAACATATCGAAGAATAATATAGAAAATTCATACCAACTGTATTACGAGAACCACCTAATAAAATAAATTTAGATATATAGAAAAACAATTTATAAACATACTTTTCCAAACATCTTGTGTCGCAACAGTACCTACTTTCTTTTGACCTAAATAATATATCATATTTTTCAAAACTGTTTTCTTTCAAATTCATAAGACTTACAATTATCGCAAACCATAATAATCTATATTATAATCTTTTTAATATCTAGAATAAAGAGAACCTATATTTATAATTCATTCTAATCAGCTAATGGATTCGCATGAATAGTAACACGTTGTATTCGAACATCTGTTTCTGGTCGATATGTTTTTTCATTCACAGGTATTTTTTCTAATTCATCAAGTGTTTCAAGTCCATCAATGACTTTACCAAATACAGTATATTTTCCATCAAGATTCGTCTGTTTTCCATAAGTTATAAAGAATTGTGAACCATTTGTATTCGCACCACGACTAGCCATTGAAACCATTCCACGTTGACTATGCTAAATAAATATATTTCTTAGCTTTAAAAAGAAAAAGAATGGAATTCGATCTGATAATTTACTTTTAAATGTTCATTAATTTCATCCTAAATAAACAAATAAATAAATAAATGATAAGTTATGTATTAATAATCTTACTGGAAAATATTCTCCCCAAATACTTTGACCACCTTTACCTAATCCAGTTGGATCACCCGTTTGAATCATATAACCTTTAACATTTCGATGGAATAAACAATTATCATAATAATTACTTGCACATAATGCCAAAAAATTCTAAATTTATTTTTTAATAAATTCAATCTATTCTTCTGTTTATTTAAATATTTACTTCACATGCTTTTGGACATTGGTCACAATAGAGTTCAATTTTAATATCACCTAAATCTGTATGTAATGTTACAGACATCTATAAAGAAGAAAAAAATAGAAATTACAAAGTAATCTTATAGATTTTTGAAATAAAGAAACAATATCTATATGCTTCGAATAAATATGAAAAACGAAAAGTATTTTACAATAATTGCACATGCTATTTTTTATTGTTTATGCTAATTCTGGATTAGTGTCAACAACTATTGCTGCTGCATGATGTTCAATTTCATCTTTTGTTTGTCGACGATATTCACAATGGAAAAATGTAATGAAACAAATAACAAGAACAACCGATGTTACTGCTAAAATATATACAGGAACTAAACAAAGAATAAATTTTTAATTATATTTTAACAGAATGAATAGTTATACTAGAATAATCTCGAATGTCATTAAGTTTTCCATCTTGAACTTCACACTTTTGTATACTCATTTGATGAGCAGAAGGTGCCATTGTAAAATATGGTAAAATTACAATAGCAAGAATACTTCCTAATTGACTATAAAAAAGAAATCATGAAAAATTTTATTCAGATAAATATAAACCATAGATTTTATTATTATTTACCTGGCAACCATGAATATACCTGCAACAGTAGCTTCTGGAACTGGATGGGTTCTAAAAATAATTGATAGATTTATTACTAATGGAAAATTAATATGTAGAAATTACATACGTTTCAATACTCAGATCTAAACTTAATGGAAGTACAGGTGCATTAGATAAACCAGCTATAGCAAATATTAGATAAAGCCAATACGATTTAACTTCATTTACAATGAACTATTCAGATAAATCAAATCGATAAGGCTGCTTTTTTTCGTTAATTTTCTACTTACTAATCCAATACACATTAGTGAAATAACTCCAACTGAATATAAAATTTTTGTTACTTCTTCTAATTTCCTCGTTTTATCCGCTATATATCCCATAAGAATACATCCAATAAGGCCAAAAATAATAAAACAACCAATACATAAACCAACAGCTATATTATCATAACCGAATGGACACATGATTTGTTGTAATAATGTTGAAAGTGTATTATTATTTGATAAACCAATACCAACAGTAGCAAATAAAATTAAATAAGATTTTGATTTTAAAAGCTAAACGAAATATTTTTCTCAAATAAATCAAATAAATCAATTTTATACTTTTTTAAAAACTGATTTATATGGAATTTTAACATCAAGTGAAGCTAAACATGATGGTGTTGGTGGTTGTGATGATCGAACAGTAAATGATAAAGCAGCTGCAAGTATAGCTGGTATTAATGTTAAATAAAGCTAAATGAAAATTTTTTATTAAATATAGAATATTAAAAGAAAAAATTAAACAAACTAATAAAGGTATTCGACTTTCATGTGGAACAATAATTGGTGGAGCAACAGTTCCAATAAATACACCCAAAAAATTAGCTAGGAAATAATTTTCAATTAATTTTAATCTTCATTTTATTTTTTTTTCTTACTGGCAAAACAGAGACTATTAGCCAATGTTCGTTGATGGTCAGGAAACCAAACAAATGCAAATTTTGTTGGTAAAAATAATGTAAATGTTTGAGCAAAGGCACAAATCATTTGTCCTATTTTAATTAAAATATATACATGATAAAAACAAGAAACTATTTAAATTTATCTTTACCAATAAAAACAATTGGATAACGACCTTTGATTGATACCCATGTACTAATAATACGAAAACATCCACCAATTAAATTTAACCAAACACCTGTTAAAATCTATAAAAAAAATAAATTTTATTCCGTTGATTTTGTTAAAAAAAATTTACTCCAAATCGAATACCAAATCGATCAATAGCCCATGTTGATGGTAATGTAAAAATACTACAAATAATCATAAATATAAGTGAAAGCCAATTAATCGCGCTATATGAAACATCAAAATAACTTTTTGCTATATTAGCAATTGATGCAAAATTAATCCATAACTAAAATAAAAATTATTTTCGTCTATATATATATACATAAAACAAAATTCTTACAATAGAATTTGACATATTTGCCAAACATATGCAAACTAAATAAAGCCATCGTCGTTTATATACTTTAAATTCAACTGGTATTAATTCAGTTGTAGGCGATGGTGATACAGGTATTTGCTCGTCAATAGCACCGTACATCTAGAAATTGCGTAATAACTATGAAATTATATTATATATATATATTTTCTTTCTTTCATAAATTTCATTTAGAAATTATGATTCAGACTGATAAACTACTCTTGCCTTTATCGACAACAAAAACGAATATTGTATTATTACTTAATGGATGTTTTAATCCAATACATAATAATCATATTCGTTTATTAGAATTAGCACGAGAACATTGTAATTCATTAAATCAGTATCATGTTGTTGGTGGTTATATTTCACCAGCACATGATGCATGTATTCAACGAAAAGTATCAATGTGTTATGCAACATGGCAAAATCGTCTTGAAATGTGTCATTTAGCTGTTCAAGATTCATCATGGATTATGATTGATGAATGGCAAATATCTCAAGAGAAAAATCCTGGTGGACAACAATCGAAACAACATCTAGGTGATTTTCTACGAAAATCTTATCCTACAATTGAAATTATATCGATTTGTGGTGGTGATGCATTACCAAAATTTAAATCAACATTTAAAAAAGAACTTGTTATTTGTATAACTAATCGACCGATCGATGAATTTGATTTTAATGAATGGTTTCAATCATCAACAATAAAACCGTATCATAATAATATCATTCATCTACATGATAATCAATGTATAAAATATATGAGTAGTACTAATATTCGTCAACAGATAAGTCAAAATCTTTTGGATTCGCCAATCAATGATATTCACCCATCGGTACTTGATTATCATCGTCAACATGGAATTAATTATCGTTCAGTAAATGAAACCATTCTTTGGTCAGAATTTGATAATAATGAAGAAATTGAAATTGGTCAAGGTCGATGTGCAACAGTTTATTCTAAACAATATAAAAATGAAGAAGTTGCTGTTAAAGTTATTCGTGAACGTAAACAATTTGAAAATGAATCAAAAATTCTAACATTATTAACTAATGAAACATCGTATCATGTAAATGTAATTCGTATATTTGGAATAGGTAATCAATTTTGTGTTATGGAAAAATGTAATATTGATCTTCTTTCATATATTAAATTAAATCGTATATCAACATGTCAAACAATAGAATCAATCTTTCCCAATATACAATGGTTACAATTTATTAAACAAATGTTAGCAGGTTTTGTTCATCTTGTTTCACTTGGAATTCTTCATCGTGATATTAAAACTGATAATATTCTTCTATCAAATATGACTGTTAAAATATCAGATTTTAGTGTATCAATTAATACCAATTCTATGAATAAAATGCCAGTTAGAGGATCAATACGTCATTATGCACCAGAAGCTCTTGAAGATAAAAAAATTTATACAGAGAAATCGGATATTTACATGTTTGGATGTTTACTTTATGAAATAGCTCATGGTGCAGAACGTATTTGGAATGAAAATACTACACCTGAAGTTGTCAAACGACGATTAAATGGTGAAAAACCAATTTTTTCTGTACCATGTGAATCATGGTATATTAATATGGTTTTAGATGATTGTTTGGCTATGAAGGATGACGAACGATCAACATTTGAACAATTATTACAAAAAATTTCTATAAAATAATTATAAGAAAGGATCAGCAGATGAAAATTATCATACACCAATGAAAGAAAAGATTATTTTACTATATATATATATATATGTATGTTCAGTGACATCTCTCATAAATGAGTCATTGAAATTTTTTTCTTTTTAAAAATAGAAATCTAATTGAATGTAATATAAGTTGTTATAAAACGTTGTCTATTGACAGTTGAAAAGTTTTGAACAGATGTTTTATAAGTAATTTGATCTGTTAAAAATAATGATCTTGATTTTATTATCTTTCAAGTATATATATAGTCAAGTATTTAATGATTTTCATTAAATTAAAAGAAACTGCAGTATGAATTCTCTGAGTAAAGAATTTCTAATAAACTGCTGACTGTCAAGTTGCATAATGGTTCACTAATATCAATTTTATTCTAACCATACTGATCATATCTGTTGATGTGAAATGGAATACGGTTGCTCAATAGATGTATATCTTGAAGAGACATATATGCTTATTTTATTATATTTCGTTAGTAAATATGATTCAATACTATGATAAGCACAAATATCTATAAATTAGGTAGTTATTACGGGTTAGTAGATTATTAAGTATTAGTGTTTTCATTAAATCTGCGCAACGCCATATTGCATACAAAACAAAATTATATTTATTTCATGCGGTTTGTCTGATCATATTAATTTTAAGTGAATACATTCTTTCATAATGTAATTTCGTTAGCAAAAGATAGTTTACAATTAACTAACTGATGGTTAGTTCGTTTATTATTAATATTTCAATTACAATATAACAACGAATATGAATAAATCAAAATATACATCTTTTAAACAATGAGGTATGATGTAAAGCATACCATGTGACGGTTAACATATCATTCGATAATATAGTTACTTTTGTACGGATAAATTGTGGATTAACATAACCTGTATGTGCAACTAAAAGAAAAATATTAGAATAAATATATATATATAAATCGATTATTTTTACTTTGTCCAATGCCTTCATAACATAAAGGAGAATCTGATTCACCTTCAAGAGGATGTATAGCAGCAAAAGTTATTTTACCATGTGGTACATTCGGATCTCCGGAAATTTTTCTAGCAATTAAAGCATCTGGAACAATTTCTGCATCTGTTAACATTCCATCAACCGTTGTTGGACATGTAAAATCATGACACAATTCTAAATGAAGTAATTCAAGACCATGACCACCATAAGATCCTATCCAAAGACCATTTAAACGTGATAATGAATGATTACTCGCATCAGTTGTTGATTGTGGAATTGATAGAGGATGATAAATAATTGTTGAATCATCGGAACAATGTCTTGTAAAATAAATATCTCGTTCTCCGGGTATTTCCGTTAAATCATGATCATGTGTAATTAATAATGATCGTTCATTACTGGGTAATGCTTCTTGTGATAAACCGAAATATTGTTGATTTTTATTAAAAGTTTTTATCCAAGATAATTCATGATGAGCCTGATTGTATTGATGACAATAGATTTGATGAGATAAACTATCAATAGTAAATAATTTTGATCGTATAAAAACTGGTTTTAAAAATGATTCATTCGCTTCTTCATCTTCATCATCAAAATAATATTGAGCTATATTATTTGAAGCATTCATTACACTTAATTTTTCTCCTGTAATAGTTCCATCTAATATATTTAATGTAACATCAGTAAGACCACCAAAATATCTTTCATTTGATTTCCAATAACCAAGATATCGGCCATAAGGTACAAGAGTTTTTGTAAATAAACTGTAATAAAATATTTCAATTTTTATTTTATAAAAAAAGAAAAAGAATTATTCTTACTCATAAAAACTTTGTTTCATTCCATTTAATGATGGTTTAATATTATATAATCGATAGCATAATCGTTGCCATATACGATCATCACGTGATACAGATAAAAATAATCGAGATACTCGAGAAAATGAAGCTAAATCTTTTGGTGAATCAAATTGAATAGCTATTGAAAAGAGAATTTCATAGGGTAATTTATCCATCTAAAACTAAAATATATAAATTATGTATGTTCAGAAATAAAACAATTTCTCTTTAGTATTTTTTAAAAAAATAATTTAGTGTTGGCATCGTCGTTTATATTTACATTGAAAAAAATAAAAATAAAAAAGTGTTACGAACACCATAATTAATACCATTATATACAGAGGAACTAAATCAAATAAAAAAAGTAAAATAAATAAATTAAATAAATATTTTCTTTTACTTGAATAATCTAATATTGCTATATCATCTTTCAGATCTTTTGAACAAGTCTCAATTAACATTTGATGTGCATTAAGCGGACGAGCAAATTTTGGAAAAATAACTACCATTAGTATTCCAATAATTTGACTAGAAAAAATTATATAATTGAAAATAATTCGAGTATAATATTTTGAGGGTCGGTGTGGGCGAGGGTGTCAGTATTCCCTTCATTCTTAACCCACACCCTTAAGAATTTATTTCTTTACCTGGACATAACACTAATTCCTGTTGCAGTTGCTTCTGGTATTGGATAAACACATTCAAGACTTAAATCCATTGATATAGGTGATAATGGTAATGATACAAAACCAACAAAAGCAAATGCAAAATAAATAAAATATTTCCATACTTGATTGATAATAAACTATAGAAAAATGAAATAAAATATTTTATTTAATAAAACATTCTTATACCAAGACAAGAAGAATATAAGCAATTGAACTTGTAGCATATAATATTTTTGAGATTTCCTCTAATTTCCCTGTTTTATCCGCGAAATAGCCAAATACCAATGAACCCAAACTTCCAGCACCAATAAACCATCCCAAACAAAAGCCAACTGTTACATTATCATAACCAAATGGACACATCATTTGTTGAACTAATGTTGAAAGTGTATTAAAACATCCAATTGCAAGTCCACAACCAATAAATAGAACAACATAAGATTTCGATCGAAAAAGCTATAGATAAACATTATAACAAATCATTTTTATTTTGTATTGTCTTACTCTCAGTAACGCTAGTGAAAATGGTTGTTGTACATAAACAACTGCTTGACATGATGGTGTAGGTGGTTGTGCAGATCGTATTCCAAGAGAAAGTAAAGCAGCTATTAGAGCAGGTATTACACTTAAATATAACTGAATGAAAAAAAAGGGAATAACAAGAATATATAAGAATATAAAACAAACTAGTAATGGAATTTTGCTAATATTAGGTACAATTAATGGTGAAAGAATACTGCCAATGAGAATACCAAAAAAATTACCTAAACAAAAGCGAAATTTAAAAGATAATATTTTTTTTAAAAGTAAACATACTTCCAATAGCAATTGAATTTGCTAATGAACGTTGTTGTTCGGAAAACCAAACAAAACTAAATTTTGTTGGAATAAATAGAATGAAAGTTTGTGCTAAAGCACATATAAATTGTCCTAGAAATCATATTTTTATTTTATTTTTTTTAGAAGAGAAAAAAAGCTTTTACCAATCATAAGTATTGCAAATCTTCCACTATTACTAAATATTGGCAATATACTAAAACATCGAACAATACTTCCAACAGCATTCATCCAAGTACCAATTAACATCTATGAAAATAATAAATTCATAAGAAAGATTTTTACAAATATATATTTTATAAATCTCACCCCATAACGAACACCAAGTTTATCTATTAACCAAGTTGATGGTAATGTAAATGGTATTGATACAATCATATACATTAAACTAAGCCAATTAATAGCATCATAACTGACTTTATAATATTCTGTACCCAAATTTGCAATAGGTGAAAAATTTATCCAAATCTAAGAATAAATATGAGATGAATTGATTTAGTTGTTTTTATTTACTAGTGCATTCGATATTTGAGCTAAACAAACAACGAATAGATAGAACCATCGACGTTTATAAGTAATAAAAACATTTGGAGTTGAAAATTTAACTTCTTCATCATCATCAGCTTGACCTAGCTGCTGATAATCAGCCATCTGAAAACAAAGAGTTCTTTTTCGAACATTAAAAAAATTGAATCTATCACAAGGATGCAGTGAAATATAGATATTCATAACTTTCAATCAACAATACGAGACATTAGCCTACTCAAAACTATGTAATCAAGATACTGAATATAAATAGTTCAACTTAACTGAAACAAATATAAGACAAAGAAAGCCAATTTTTCACAATACTCTTATTTACATTTTGCCTGAATGTTTTCTGTACTAAAATTAACTATTTATCGAATTCAATACACATTATATATTTATTATTTCTCGTAATATCTAGAGTGTTGACTAAATATATAATTACGAAAAAGATAAATCATATAAATGTGCATGAGGCATTTTATCTATAAAAATATTTTAAAAATAAAAACAAATGAAAGATTTATTAAGTTCTTTTAATAATGTTCTTCAATTGGATTTCCTTCATCAATAAGACCATGTTCAAGCATAGCTTTTTGTCGAAGTTTTTCAATACGTTGTTTTTTTTCCAGATCTTGTTTTTGCAGTTTAAGAATTTCCTCAATTGTTACTTCATAAAGTGGAATACGTAACGGCTTACGAAAATCTAATTCACCAATAAGTAAAACGTTTTCACCACGAATAACAAATAAACCACGAGGAATATCAGCATATTGTTGACCAACACAAATACGTTCAAATGCTTGATGAAGAACAAGATTTCCTTTTAAACAAAAAATTCAAAATAATAAACTATGATTCATTCAATGTAAATATTTAACTAAAATTTTCAATTACAATACGATCATTCTTTCTTTTTGTCATTTTACAGGTTTGCTCGTTAAATACATATCTAATCTTTTTTCTTTTCAGTTGAATTGAGAAATAAGATGTAATTCATTTATTTATAATACATACCGAATTGATCAAGACTTCTTAAAAAAGCAATAAGTGTTCGACCATCACGTAGTATAATCATTAATTGTTCTAAACAAATATAAATCAAAGAAATAGGTTAGATATTATATTGTACAGTTAATTTCTTACTGTCAATGTCATCAACTAATGTTGCTATACCAGATAAATAAAAATCATCGTCGACCATACTCAAATTCATTATTGCTTTATTAATTTATAAAAAATCGAAAATCTAGAATAAAATATTATACAATGATTTTTTTTTGTTCTTGTTCAATGCACATAGATAAACATTTCATTTTATTCGACCCACTTTTTGTTTTACTTCGCCTCATCTTTTATGTATGCATTTGAAAGATTTCCTTCTCTCTTCTATATACATATACATCATTATTCAATCACGTATATAACCTACTTCAACAGTATCAATTAGGTTAAATATAAAGCGCAAAAAAGTAGACAGTCGCTCTGTCTTCTTCGTTTTTTTTTCTTCTTCTTCTTTTTTTGTGTTATGTGTAGGCGACAGATGTATATAAAAAAAAGGTAAAACAACGTTAAAGTGATACTATTATAGATTTAAATCAACACATAAGAATCTTATTATCATGGGCAATTCAAGAAGTAATTATGAACGACATGAAGATGATGAACAACAACAACGAATTGTTATTGGAAAAGAATTTCGTCTTGTTCTTGGACAACTTAATCTATCATCGGATTTAGTAAAACGAAAAAAAATTCTCTTAAATAATAAACAACAACGTCGTGGAGAAATTTCATCATCATCATCAAACTCAACAATAACATCATTATCTTCGTCCGATCATTCTCATACATCTGTTTCTTTAATTCAACTCGATATACCAACTTCTCCATCCGATTCTAATGAACTCGATATTCATGCACTTATGCAATATCTATCAAATCAAGAAGTCGATGGTAAAGAACTTTCACATATGTTTAAAATTCCATTCAATACAACTAATAACAAATCTCGAGCAAAAACATTACCAACACTTAAAATAGCTGCTGTTTATTACGATCAACCTTGTGCAACTAATGAATTGAATATTGAACTAATTTCATTACAACATGAAAATAAACTTGAACAAAATTTACAAAAATTTTATGAGAAAAATATCTTATCTATTTATACATCAAGTATTTTTTTTTCTTATATCATATATTTTATTCAATCTATTTTTTGCGATTTAATTTAGAATCAACAGCCTATGTAATTTATACGAAAAATTTATCTTTACATAATAACTATAAACTCATTTGTTCGGTAACAATGTCAAAAACAACACTTGAAAATTTTGAATGGCTTCATCCATTTATTGACTACTCAAATTTAGGTTATCGTTTATGTGGAATAATTCCGTTTATTAATTCTTCAACAGAAAATTCATTTACGATTTATTGGTTATTCGAACAAATCGAAACAAATGAAAGTATTCAATATGATTATTCAATAATTGAATATCAATTAAAATCATCTTCATTTACTAATTGTCTATCATTACTTAATTTAATGTCAAAACATGAATGGAAATTAGTAGCAACATTTGATTATAATCAAAAGAAAAAAAATGGCGAACAAACATATTTTTTACTTTTTTTTCAAAGATTAAAAAATTAAGCTTGACTAATATTTTATTATTACTATGGAATGTTATACTTATCAATAAAAGAAAATAATATTAATATGGATTAGTTATCTAAAAAAATCGAATGAGCTAGATGTTCTTTTCCTTTTTCTTTTTAATATCGACTAATATCTCGTCCAAATATGTGTGTACGAACCCAATCAAATGCAAGTAAAGTTTTTGTTCGGCCAGTAAACATTTCTGTAAAATAAAATGATTTCCATAAATAAGCAGCACTACGACCTGATAATGGTTGTAAATTAAATAAATCAAAAACTGGTTTTGAACCAGTAAAATCAAGTACTGCTGAATCACCGCCAACGTATGCTAATGCACCCATATGTTTATATTGAAATGGTTTTAAATTTTGTTGTTTAAAATCAGTTGATTGAATATCAGTTACTTGATTAAGTAAATGAGCGACATAACGACCTTCTTGAGATGCAACTTGAGCTGTTGCTGGTAATGCACGAATTTTTTGATCAGCTTTTTCCAAAATAGCACGAAGTGCAGTTAAAGTGACATAACCAGATTTTTCTTTATCAGCTTCTGCAAAAGCTTTTTCAATACTCTTCGAAAATATTTCAAGCTAGAAAGAAAGATGTCAAAAAAATATTGCTAACAGTTTATGTTAATATAAGCTTCTTTTCAAATAAAGCACCCAGAGAAGACATACTGTATATAGTACCTATGTGTACTTGTATAACTCTGATATGAATTAATATCGAAAAAATATATATATTTGAATACCTGTGGAAATTCTGTGACTTTCTTTTCAACTAATGTTTGAAATTGATTGAGATCAAGTGAACCTCGATGTTGTGTATCTGCTTCTTCGAATAATAATTGAATTTGATCAACTAATTTTGGTTGTGCAATTGTAGCACAATCACCAAGAGCAAAGATTGAACCATCTTCAACACCTTTCACACGTAAATATCGATCAGTTAAGAGACCCATTCGATTGGTTTGAATAGTTGAACCAATTATTTCTCGAATTCGATTTGTTAATGGTCGTGCTTTAATACCCGTTGCCCAAACAACAACTGAACATGGAATAGATATACGTTCTTCGGAACCTTTTAATTGAATAATAACTTCTCGTTGTTTAACTTCTTTAACAAACGTATTCATTAATACATCAATATTTTCACGACGAAAATGTCTTTCTGTATAATCACTAATTTTTTTATCCTGAAAATAAAAATAATATAAATGATTTTTCAAATAATAAAACGATGACAAACCATCATAGATAACACATGGTCAAGAGCTTCGATTAATGTTATTTTTACATCGCTAGAAACAAGACGTGGAAAATAATGTTGAAGATCTTCGCGAACTAAATCAGCAAGCTAAAAATATATACATAGAAGATTTTCATTTCAATATAAACGATCTCTTTGAGTCTCTCTAAACTCCTTCGACTCTATTACACTACAAACATACTTCTGCAGCAAATTCTACACCTGTTGGTCCACCTCCAACAACAACAAAATGTAAAAGACGTTTTCTTTCTGCTATTGTTTGTGTTGGTGTCATAGCTGATTCAAATGCATCACTAATTGCTGAACGAATACGTCGAGCATCAAGAAGTTCTTTAAGAAAATGTGCATGTTCTTCAACACCTGGAGTATTAAATGTATTATTTTCTGATCCAACAGCAACAACAAGTATATCATATTTCATATCGAATTGTGGTCGTGTTCGAGCTAAATTAGAATTAAAATTTTCTAAAAACAAGGTTTGTTTTTTTTCAAATTTACCTGAATCTTTAATAATTCTTGATGAAGCACCACTTTCACGCGATGGTGGTGCAACTATTGTTTTAACATCATCACCACGTGATACATTTTGTTCTCCATTGTTATTACATGTAATAGTTTTGGCTTTTGGATCGACATTAATACAAGTTGCTTCAACAAATTTAACACGTGGTCCAACAAGTGAACGAATAGATTCGATTACAGTACGAGTTTCAACTGTACCGACACTAACAGATGGTAGTAATGGTGTCATTAAAAAATAATTACGTGGTGATACACAAATAACTTCATATTTTTGAGTATCAAGATGTTTTAAAAGTGGTACAGCACCCCAACCTAAAGATCAAAAAATTATTCTAATAAATACCAAACAATTGAATTAATATATATATAACCTGTTCCAAGAACAACTATACGTGGTTTAGTACCAATTGTTTTATCCGAATCACTCATTTCACTATACCATTTATAACGACGATAACCACGATAACTATAAAATGTACCAACACCAACAACAGTAATAATTAAAAGATTTTTTAAACGTCGCTTTAATTTTCCACCTAAAATAAATTGAATATATTTTCAAAAAGTGCCCTCTAAGTGCATTCTATATTATTTTTATAAAAATGTTAGAAAATGAACTTTGTACCCTACATTCAATAGTCATATATTTTTAAATTTTTTTCCCCTTAAAATAGAAATATTCAAAAAAAATTTAGTTTTTAACATACCAAAAGTTTGCTTGGCTGATTGTCCAGAAAACCAAGCAAGATTTCGAGTAAGAATTGGTTTTATTTCATTTAATTGTTTAAATGAGATATTTCGATGTGCATTTATTGTTGTTAATTGTTGAAGAAGAAGAGTTGAACGAGAAAACATATTGATATGTAAATAAGAATAATTCCTGATTTGATTAAATGAGACTCATTATGTTATAAAAATAGAAAGATAGATAGATAAAAAACATAATAGTTCATAGTTTCTATTCGTCAATTTTACCTCAATGAAAATAATAATTTCACTGCCATCTTTCGAAATATTTAATATAAAAATATAAATGGTCAATTAAATGGATTAGGCCGATTCACTTTCAGTTGGTTGATCTATTTTATACTTTGACTATTTTTTTGCCGTGCCAAAATTTGGTCAAATTGTTTAAAGAAAGTGGATGTGTAGAAATGATCGTGGTCGAATCTACCCGCTAGAATATGTTACTTAATGATGACCCAGAAATATTTGATAAAATGTGAAATATCAATAATCCTATGCCTTTCTTGGACTGAAAATAACAATTCTAGTCAATTCTGTATATAAAAAAAAAAGGAAGATAAATAAAATTTATTTTTAATTTAATAATAGAAATTTTATAGATAATAAATATTATCTATATTTTAAGTGTTCGAATATTTATAGTGGATTGATATAACTTATGATTTACTTGATAGAATCTATTTTTTATATAGATTAGAATACATATGAAAATTTTTTATTTGAGAACATATTCTAGTTGTTATAAAATTTTATGTATTACATAAGCATCAGCTAACAACCTTGATTTATTATTACATAAGATGCTTTTTGTCATAAGAGACTATCTAAAATAGATCATATAAAGTACAAAATGATTCAAAATAGTATTGTTTATATGAAATTTCTAGTCCAATCGAATAATGACTGTGCAATGTATCAGTACTGATGTTCGAATCTACCTTCGAGACTAGAGTCAGGGATGTCTCTTTCAGTGGCACATAACTGTTCATGCTCTCGATATATTAAATATTCTCAACAATTTGTATCCATACATTCGAAGATTTATATTCTTCAAATGATTTGCTACGAGTTGTTGAACATTTTGATATATTTTATCACTCGAAATCTATGCAGAAGAACTTAATTTTTTTACACAGCAATATCAATGTCTATTGATACAATATCATACACAGTCAGTTCTTTAAACAAGATTTTATTGCATAAATTATAATTTAAAGCACAAGTAATCTATTTATTAATAAGAAATGAAATTTACTAATTTTTTTCTTGGCTAATGACTCGAAATTCCTATTTGTTTGATGTTCAGCATATAAACATAAATCAGTTTATTTTCCCTCTAAAAATATAAGAAAATGTTTTTCACGATATCAAATGGCGCTTATTTTATCATTGTTATTTGTCATTTGGAATTTTTTGTTTCGACGATGTTTTTATTTTATCTAATATTTTTGTTATTTTTAAAACAAACTGATGCAAGAAACATTACTGTAATAAGACTTGAAGAACTAGCTCCATTAAGTACTAACAATGAGTTGGAAACAATTGCTGCTCAATTCAATCAAAATCCTAATTGGGAATTAGGAAATATGCCTTTGACATTAACTGAAGAAGAAGAAATTACACCAAATGATCCAGATGCTCCAGAAATATCAAATAAACCTGGTTTAATTAAAACTGGTCATCTTTTTCAACCTGAAGACATGCATCCATATAGAATCGATAGAAAAGGCGTTCATCCTCATACTGAACATCATATATTTTTCGTTCGACATGGTGTGACATAAATATAGACATATACATATATATTATTAAATTTCTTTTTTAAGGTTTATATTATTATACTGAAGTTGATTCATCTTCACATTTGCTTCGTTATGGAAAATATCAAGCTCGAATGGCAGGTGATAAAATTAATGAAATAATTCATAATATATTATCAAGATCCGGACCATTAACGAGACCGATAAAATTAGTATCAAGTACACAAACACGTGCATATGAAACTCTTTATAATATTCGTTTACAACTTAGTAATAATTTTGAATATGCACCAGAAATTATACAAGATACTGGTCTTACTGAATGCGTGTATGATTATTTTTTCTTCTAATTGATTTTCAATATATATATATATAAATAAATTATTTATCTTTGATTTTTAGTGATACCAATAGACAACGTTTTCGTTGGCTCTATTTTGTTCGTGAATATTTACAACCGATTAAATCAAATAAACGTGAACATACAATAACGATTATAGCTAGTCATGGAAATCTTTTAACAACTTTTGATTATATCATTAGTCATTTTCTTAGTCAAAATATACCTATGGAAGCTTTTGCTACTTTTCGACTTCCTTTAGGAACAGGAATGAAGCATGCTGAAGTATCATTATATCGTACTATTGGAGCTGAACGTGTTCATTTTCGAGAGTCTTATAGTATGATTCAAATTCCAATAACAGTTAATCATGCTCATTTAAAAAGAGATTTTTATTATGAATGGGCTTCTGTACATAAATGTCGAGTAAGTAAAAATTAAACTAATAAAGATAATATCACCTTATGTTTTTCTATTTTAAGTCACAGTATGGTCGAGAAAATATGAAAAATTATATTCGAGCAGGTATATTAGATAATGTATTTGGTGGAGGTCCTTTTTCTAATAAAATGAAAGATTACGACAGTATTGTTTATTGGGAAATGTTACAAGAATATGATACACATATATTACCGATGTTAATGCATACTTGTCGTACTTATCTTTATCGTTTACCATTTATTCAAGCAAATACAGATTTTGGTTCATTCCATCGTTCAATGTCACCAGTACCAATTCCAGAAACTGAACAAGAACAACGTTCACCATTACAGAAACCAATGGATCGTTTTAATGCTTATAGTATGCCATTTTTTGTAGACAATGCTATTCAAAAATTTCGAAAAAATCCTGCTCTATATCGAGAACAAATACCACCTGGTGTTGTTCATCCACAATCACGTATACTTTTATTTCTAGTTCGACATGATAAGTAGATATTAATTAATTAATTAAATGAAAAAAATATTTCTCTTCTATATTCTACGTATTAATGTCAATACAGGTGATGATAGTACATCATATTTAACTCGTCTTGGTATTAATCAAATACGTGGTGTAGTTGATCAAATACATCGTACTATTCATGATTATATGCATAGATTACAAGCAAATGTTCGTATATTACCGATAAATATAGTAGCTGAACCATCAATTCCATCAGCTGAATCATGTTTTCATGTACGAAATCTTCTATTAAGTGTTGATTATTCAGTATCTGAACAAATTACAGATCTTGGTATTCAATTTAATTATTTTCATAAAAGTATAGATCTATTAGAAATTAGTGCATTGATTTAATACATATATTTATGAAAGGATCTCCAAAAGAATTTATGGATTTTCAACGTGTACAAGTTCTTTATTTATTACGTCGTTATCTTGGACCTGATCAAAATGATTCTTCACGACCATCATTTCAAGTTCATATTTTATGTGGTGATGGTCGATTATTTTCAGCATTTCGTCAAGAATTAGTCATAGCTAAAATACCTGTTGAACCAGTTCCAAGATTTGCATCAATATCTGATCCTGGATATAATGCATTAAAACATGCGAATGCATTTTTTTTCGAAGCTATCGATCGTGATGTATTAAGACTTCATGAAACTATAACTTTAACAGGAGCAAGACAGATTTCAGAAGAGCAAAGAATGGTTACAGATCATTCACTTCTATTACCATCACGTGAATTAAAAAATTGGTTACGAAGTTCATCTGGTCCCTGTACATTATCTTATTTTGTTGATAATACCGAACAATTAGTTCAATCAATAGCAAATACAGCTTCTGTTTATCATCAACAACTTGCTTTTCTACTTAAAAGAGAATGGCATCCATATCTTGCTGGTATTTCAAACATGTTTTTGCATATTTTCTTCATTGAATTATAACGAAAATATATTTAGGATTATTCATTTATGCATGTCGTCTTCATCTTACACTATCAGACACTACTAATATACAAGAAATACAACCAGCGGCAGCGGCGGCGGCGGCAGCAGCAGCTGGTGAAAATGAAGCTACAAATCGATGTGATATACCAGGGACAGCAGCATCAGGAGGACCTTCAGGAGATTGTCCATAAATTGATTTATCGATATTTGCCCGTTTATTTATTTATTTATTTATTTATTTCTAATATAATACTTATCTAAAATAAATTAACTATAATGAAACTATTCAAATATCTCTTAGTTTTCCTTTTTTTGTCTAAAATCGAATTTGCATGTCATTATTGTTTATAGTTCATTATATTGTCGAGACCGGAAACATCGCTTTTCTCACGACATGAAATGTCCTTCGAGTTTGACGACAAAAAAAAAAGATTTGTTGTTGTTATATACCATGATCAAGAGGCGGTAACAAATTAGCCGATTTTTTTCTAAAAAAAATTACGTACACATGCAAACAATACTATCTTATTTCAAACTCTGTCAATCTCATGTTCATTATTAGTTTCTTTTTCTCAACTATATTTATTCATGGGATGATATAAGACATGTTCAAGTATCTACAACTATCGTCCATGCAATTATTATCTAGTTAACATATATATATATATATATATATATACACATCTTCTTTCATTCATTTGTGCATCTCGCGCAATCATCACTAAGAACAAAATGCAAATTTTACTTAATGTAGATTAAAATGAGACTGACATAAAGAAAGAGAACCTTTGCTTGATTATCCTCATCAACATCATTCAACGAACACTATACAGTCGTATTGAAGTGACCTTTTCTTTCTTTTCTATTCACAATCTACGCTTTCACATAATCAAGAGCAATCTGTCTGTATATATAAGTAAGATTGAAATAATGAATTTTATACTATTTTAATTAGTCTTTCTCTTCAATGAGTTTTGACTAGACGATAAACATACTTTTCATTCTTTTTTTTTTCTATGAATATAAAAAAGATCTATATATCTGATAGTGTAGTGTACATTAAATGACAAAAGTCGTTCACTTGGGTGATTTCTGTCTTCTAATTAATGTCTTCAACAGTTATCTATTTGTGCTTGACCGATTTATCAAGGATCAGCCTTAATGAACTACTTGAGAATAACATGCTTTATTCTTTAATATACACTGAAACAAAAAATTTATTTTTATCTGACATTTTATTAGATTTATAAACCTATACTGTTCATCAGATATCGACTTTGATAATCTTAGTTTTTTCTTCATCTAATCTTTATAAACAATAATGAATAAAACAAAAAAAAACAAAAAAAAATATTCATTGATAATGTTAGTCGATTAGAACTTTTTGATAATAAAGCACTGATACGTTGATGTCTTTGAATATCTAAATAGATAAAAAAAAAAACTTTCGTTGTTTATCAAATAAAATATATCAATCAAATTTTCTTACCTTTTTCAATGATTACTTTGGCACTTAATTGTTGACGTTTATAAACACATGTCCATACACCTGTATGAAATATTTGTGCATGTTCAATAATTAAATATGAAGATAATGTATTATTAACGAATTTTTTTCTTATATATATATCATGAGGTTTTGTATTATTGATTTGATTTGATACAAAATGCCAAGTTATCAATGATTTTTTATGAGTATCATTCATATCACTATTCATTAAAAGACTACAATTTAATTTAATACTTGCGCCTGGTTCAATATAAACATTTGTAGGATAGATCATCATTGGTATTTGTATATGTAAATGTATATAAATACTAACACTTACTTTTCTATTAGCTATTTTACATATATATGTACCTTCATCAGAGAATTTCAATTGATAGATTTCTAATGACCAAAATGAATCTTTTGATGATGTAGAATAAAATGATATTGAATAACGTTTATCAGTTGTAAATAATTGTTTTCCAACAGCTAATGGCGATGGAAATGACGTTAATGGATCAAATTTAAACCATGTTACATGATGTTCACCTAAATCACGTATATGACATGTTAAAATAGCTGTAGACGAAAGATTTGATGTTTGATTATATGTTTCAGTAAGAATTTGTGGAAATGTGTCAACAGCTGTTGTTATATGTACCATTAAGATAGCTAAAGAAAACGTAAACAATTATGAAACACAAAAAAAAACGAATTAGTAGCAATCGATTAGATTGTTAATTGAACTTTGATGACTTACTGGAACTAAAGAATAAAAAAATTTGTTCAATAAGAATAAGAATATTGTTCATTATTAGAAATTCGACTATATAACATGATTAGAATCAATTTCATCGTACATATATGAAGATTTGTTTATAATCGATTGTACAATAAAAGTAGCTATCGATTTTTTTGAAATAACTTAGAACATGTTGGTACTAGTAGATGAAGGAGACAACATATACAAAAGAAGATGAATAAAGATTAGGGTTGTTCTTTCTGGTGGCGATAAGGGAAAGGCGAAAAGGAAAGAGAAGAGAAGAGAGAAGGAAGAAGAAGAAGAAGAGAAGAAAAATAAACTTAGACTAATGGAATTAGGAATAGAGAGAAAAGATATCTAACTTAGCTGTGTTGATTAAAGCAGCTAGCGAGAAAGAGTGCATACACAAAAACAATAAATAGAATATTCATTGCCTTTTGTTCAAAAGAAACTCTTCGATAATCACAAAAAGATCAAATAGCGTGCATACAAATAGAACAACGATGCATCTTATTACTTGTTAATTCTTTTTACCATAATCGATCTAGTTATTGTCATGTGACTCTATATCATTGAATAGATCACACCTTGCATACTCTATATTGTTGAAACAATTAGTTTTCTCACTATGCGGAATTGAAGTGACAAATAGACTTATTGTTTTTAATTCTTCTAGTACTTCAAGGAAAAAAGACAATAAAGAAGTCGCGACATTATAGACGCGTGTCTATTCAAATCAATTCGATTTTGACGCATTTTCACTCAATCATTTATTCATACAGTGCACACAAGTACTACTACTCCCTGTCGCTGAGTTATTGAGAGTCATCATATGACAACAGCAAATTACTTTCTTCTATCAGCTTTTCTTTCTGGTACTTATCTAAGTAAAAAACAAATATGTTCATGGACTCTTTCATGTCGTACTTTGCAATGAGAAATGTATGATTAAAGAAGTGTTAAATGATGAATAGAAAATCAAGGTTCTCTTTTTCTTTTCACATCGTTTCTTGAGAGTCATTATCAATAATACATCAATAGCTCAAAAGAATACGAAATATAAAAAAAAAATGATTATATAGCTAGTAGTATTCTGCATTTGTTTTTAATCTCGATAAGACCTAAATCGGTCAATAATAATAACAAAACAGAAAGATTGAACATTCTATAATGCATGTGCAAGACATTTGTGATGGTGATTAAACGTTATAGAAATTAATGTGAACAAGATGAGCACAAACATCAGACAGAAGAAGAAGAAAAAAAAAAGAAAACGTAGAATGATGATTAAATATTATTCAAATCTAGATCGATAAGTAGTATAGCATATTCTATATTATGATCTCTAGAGAAGTTAGATGACCTTGTTTGTCTTATAAAAATATAAACAACAGGTTGAATTTAATTAGTCTACGACGTTCCTTTGGTATATAAAAATTTCTTATACAAAAAAAGGAAAAGATATGGTAATGATTTGTTTTCTTTAAGTATATGCAAAATTGATCATTGCTCATTGAAACAAGTGATATTATTATAAATGATAAAAATTCCTTTTGACTACCGAATACTCAATGTAATCATTATATTTCTATCTAAAATGACCTTTTTCAATCGTTTAGATGAATATTCTCTACTTAATTTAAGACATATTGAAAGTTGTCTGATGACATTTAACCGATTATATGTTTAATAGACATAAATTAGACTTAATCTTCAACGAAAATTGATTATTTTCTTTCACAAGATTGTATTTTTAAGGATGACAAATGAAAATTGACATAATCAATTAAGTAACCTCATACTAAAAGTATCATTTAATATATAATTATTTTTTTTTTGATCAAACTTTTAAATTAGCAAATAAAATGAAGACGTGAATATTTCATAGAGAAAATTTTATTTGAAGAGAAATGCATGTCAAGCTTAATATTAAAATATGCACACTGATACAAAAGCGTTTTTTTTTTGGAAAAACAACGTATATATTTATATTTTTTGACAATATAATTTGTTAATGAATTCATTTTTAACGAACTTGAGTTTGAGTACCAAATGCTGTTGCAGTAACTTCCATTTTATTAGCTCGTGCCCGTTTATCACCAGCTAGATATTTCATTTGTAATATAAATTCTTTACGAAATAATGTTGAAGTAAGACAATGACTATAGAAATTTAGCTAAAAATAAAGGAAGGGTGATGTTGATTATATAAAAATAAAATAGACATACTGCATAATTGAGACTTTGAAACCATCCTAATCCAATCCAAACACCTGCAACTTGCATAATTGAAGTTGAGATATTACTTTGCCGTGCTGATGTTATTTTATAAGTAGCTACAGGGAGTGTAGTAGTGAGAAAAATACCGATACTTGTAAGCATAAGAATGAACATTTGCCTTTGAAGATTTTTTTGGTGTTGACTTCTATGATGATCATGCGAACCATTTGTTGGTTGAATTACCGCACGTTTTCGGGCTTGAATATTTATGTAAATATCGGTAAGAAATATAAGCATTAGAACGACTGGTATTAAACTTATAATAAGGATCTAAATTACAATATAGATTACATAATCTTTTAGCATTAAAGAAGATTTCTAATGAAAATAATTTTATTTTAATGTATAGTTTTATTGAATCAATAACAATATTATTAATTGTGGATAATAGTATTTTATAAAAAAAAAAGAATACTCTATAAGATGCATTATGCCTGAAGTAAATATTCTATTTTCTCATCTTGTTAGTAATAACTATGATTTTCTTTTGGAAAATGAAAATAACGATATTGTTGATTTCAAATAATATGCATCATAGAACCTTTTGTATTTTAAGCGAATTTTCTTATCAATTCATAATAAAATCTCACTTTTTAATATTAAGTCTTTTCAAACTTCATTTACTAACCTGTATTATACTCCAAGTCAAAAAATAAAATATGAAGTAAGTACCACTATAAATTGTCGGTCCACAAGCTATCATTGCAAATCCCGGTATAAGCATTCCATATAATGGAGTTAATACATGAGAATGAATACCAATATCCAGAAGAAGTATAATAAACACAAGTAACATAGCCTTTTTCGGTGTACAAATAGAACCTGACTTATATGGAAATCGAGTACGAATCCATCGATCAAATGATATTATTACCAATGTCCATGCAGATAATACTTGTGAGACGTACATTGCAAATGATCGAAATCGACAAAATGAATCATATTGGATATGATGATAGAAAGGTATCTATAATTAAAAAGATTATTCTATTAAATAATCATATCGATGAGACTTACCTCTAAACCGAACTCGACAAAATCTATAACACACATGCATAGATATATTGTATCCGAAATAGATAAGACCATAAATAAACATCCAGTTGATATTTTTCTCAATGATAAACGTGAGAAAGTAAGCAAACTAGCAATACTTCCAATAAAACCAAAGAAAAATGTAATTGGATAACCAAATCGAAAGATTCCAATAACGACAGGAGGATTTACATATAAAGCATAATAATAATCCAGAGAAAAAGCAACGGTTGTATTTGATCTTAGTGTAGTTGTATTGCTCATTTTAAAGATATAGTAACGATAAAATTGTATGCTTTCCCAATTATATGTTTACGAATGGATACTAAATTAGAAAAAATATAAGTATTTTATATGTGGAGTAAATTTGCAAGATTATTCTATTTTAGGGGTGAAAAAGCTCATTACATATTTTTGTATTAATCTCTTGCTTTTTTTAGATCGTTATGAATAATTAAACTATACAATCAGAACACTATACGCATATTTAAATTTAACGAAGATATATAATTGATAAAACATTTTTGTGAACGTCTTATTTTTGAAATTCAAGATGATTTCTATTGTTATATGAGGTTAAAGAAAAGACTATTCACATCCTACTACATAGTCAAGACTCGCTGACAATAATGTAAAGCCATTATATTAAGCTCTTTAGCAAGTCAACTTACACTGATTGACATCAAAAAATGATTTCAATACTAGAATATTGTATAGATTTTCGAAGAAGAATCTTTAATAATATAAACAGATATATATCAATAGAACTTTCTAAGAAATTTTAGATATTTTAGGACAAAGAACAATGAAATATCAGATAAAATCAATGTTAGATTATATATACTTACATACAATGATCGTCTTGTAATTATGAGATTATATCGAGGGCAAGTGAGCTTGTTGTTTACTGCTTTAAAAAAAAGAAATAAAAAATAGCGGATATCTTGCTCTAACATTTCCATTTAAAATAATTATTTTCGAGTCTGATACACAAAACTATTAGAAAAATCTAATCAAAAATATATTCATATCCGCATACATTTCCATACATTCTTTTATTTCTATTATCTTCACTATGACATAAATAAGTATCAAAAAATAAAAATTTCATTTAGTTATATTTAGAATGATTTTATATCTTGCTTATGTACTCTTTAATATTTAGTAAATATTAACCTATTTCTTACATCGTGAGCATCAATTAAAATTAAGTAGTATAAAATATAATTAGTTTTCTCTTAATGATTATAGAAAAAATAAAACGATTATCATTAAATCATATTTATATATACAAAGAGATGGTTTATAAGTAAAAAAAAACATAATATGACAAGTATTTTTTTCGCTTACGTATTCCATTTTATTTATCTATTGTAGATGATATAACTAGTTTCATTATTTGATCAATTATTTCAGTTAAGTTAACGTAGTAATCTAAGTCGTTGAATAATTAATAAATTGAAAAGAAGCGTGACATATCTGACTTTTTCCAGAAAATACCTTAACCATCAAAAAGGCATGTTATGATTATCTAGATAAAATCCTCATTAGTAATATTTAAAATAATGTATTCTCTATATTTATTTTTATAAACATTGTTAAATAATTAGAGTTATACATTTCCTAATATAATTATAAAAATGTATTCTTCGTATTTTAATAGAAAGAAATAAACACTTGGTGTTTTCTAATTATTCTCAATAGCAACCAATACACTATCATGTCTATTTTCAGCGTGAAGAAGATTAATTCCTCATTATTATTCTGCATAATCTATGCATTTTCTTCTGCTTAATATATTGAAAGTAATTTAAATGAGATACAAGTCTTCCAGAGTACAAATAATTCATTATGTATTTTATTAACTAGGTCACATATGTGGGTGTACCTAAAAATTTCTATTAGATGACAGTAATCGTTTCAATAAACAACATATACTTTTCATTAGGTTTTTAAACCGCTAATTACTGATTGGATTAAGCAGGCTATATGATCTGCTATATCATTACGTTTGATGATTTATAATCGTGATGTTTGATACAACATGAAATTCTCATTTATGTTCTGAATTCTTTACAAAATAATGTTGTGACTATAGAAATTTACATACATTCAAGAGAAAAAAATACATCTTTCGAGGTTGGCGATATATATATCAATACCGTCTTGATGCTATTAATCGATAGAGATACCTCTAATATGTTTTTTAGGTGTGTAGAAAATCTTTTTATCGTTTATGACGTGATATTACACAAGTGCAATCCTTCTTTCCTTTCTTTCTGCTTGCCAGTATCATATATCTATGTTCTGTCTGTTTTCCTTCGCTCTAAATGATGACGCATATCTTCTTTTACTCTAATACACTCCAGTGTAATCACTTTTTTCCCTATCTTGTAGATATGGCAGTATTCAATGCATTTATTATTTACAAAATGCATAACAATATTTCTTCCTACCTATCTCATTTTTGACTTGAAATAAATAAGAAAATTTTGACAAAGTAACAGATCACAAAGAACGACTACTATTGGAAGACTATCTACAAGAGATTCATCTGATCTCTAGATATTTTCCTTCAATTAGTCCAAAAGCATGGTAATTAACAGTCTCTAACAAAAGCTATTGTTTGCACATTCCATGCTGTTCGACGTAATTACACGATATATTTGTTCTGATCGCAATACACCTCTATATATTATAGATTGCTTCAAGGACTACCATACAAAAATGAAATACGAATGACCTTTGACATACATAATTTATTATAAACAAAAATCAGATTTAAGGGTTTCTTATAAAAATTCGAAATTTAAAAAACAAAGTTGGAATTGGAACTCAAAGGGTTAATAATTAAAACACTGAATATATCAAGTACAAATATTGAAGTTTTTGAAAATAGATCCATTTAGACAAGTGTTCCTCTAATATTATCTGCTAAAAGCATATACCACAAAATATATATGAACTTCCAGACTTTGGAAGACTGCACTAGTTTTTAAAATTCAGTTTCAATATGTTTTTGAGAAAGTTTTTACTTATATCAATAAATTATTGGTATATCATACTATAGAATATAATCTTTTAAAACTCTTAAAAGATTGTACTTATCAGTATTTTGATTCATCCAGTCTTTCTAATGGATTCCAAGTGTGCATGTTCCAAATAAAGTGAAACCGAACAAATATATTTAACCTTCTCTAAAATGAATTAGGGCAATTATATATTCTTGTAAATCACTTGACATGGCTCGGTGGTCTAATGGTATGATTCTCGCTTTGGGTGCGAGAG